GAAATGACCAATAGTTACGTCCGAAATTTAATAGAGTCGATGCCCAATGGGTTCGTGCACTTCACAAAACCAATGACCCTAAGCAATAAATAACAATGAGGAAATTATTGTAAAGTCCAAGTTTTGCGTGGTATTTGGGATTGCCCCTTTGTTGTTGTTGTTGTTGTTGTTGTTGTTGTTGTTGTTGTTGTTGTTGTTGTTCAACTATCGTAATAAAATATCGTAATGAAATATTGTTTATTGCAGAGACAAAATTCTCCATTCATTGGATATGCACTGTTTGTCCATTCTATCAATATTGATGCTCCTCAATACACGCGTGAAGGCAATTTTACGTTTCTTTGATATCGCACAATTTTTCCAAGCCTGATTTTTTAAGGCTAACTTTGAGTGACCATATCTCGGGCATCTCTTGAATTATTAATGTTTCTGATGATGCAGAATTTATTTAGCTTTAAATTGGTATGCTTCTTGAGTGGGTAGTGCAAGCCTTTAACACGATTATTGAGTGATTACATAATTTTCAAGTTTCTTTTGGATGCCACATATATACAATGCATATTATGTAAATACAAACAAAAAAACTATTGAAAATGTCGCTAACCCCTGTCGCAGAAAAAAATCCAGGCACGTTTTTAATCACAGAAATGTTTAACAGTCTTTGAAGCTATTATATCAGTTTGTAATGATTTGGCATCCAGTCATGTGTACACTATCAGATAAACAGCATACATAGATAGAAAGATAGCTGGGTAGATAGAAAGGCAGATAAATAGATATAGATCGATAGATAGATAGATAGATAGACAGACATACGGACAGATAGATAGATAGATAGATAGATAGATAGATAGATAGATAGATAGATAGATAGATAGATAGATAGATAGATAGATAGATAGATAGATAGAGCCATCAGTGCTGTTTGCTCTATTATTTAATAGGGTCGTCGGCTGACTTCTCGGGTATAGAATGTCCGGAATGGTTTTTAAAAATGCCTAACTCACGACCTTTCTGTGGTGTCCTGATTAAAGTATATCGTATTTCAGGGGTATTGAACGAAATATCTTTTTCACCCATTCCAATTTGGCAGTACAAAATAAAAAGTCAATGGCGCGGTATCGTGGTAACATCAAGAGCTCGTCAAAATAGTGAAATCGAAGAAAACAGCATTTTTCTGCCGGTTTGCCCATTTTTTATCCAATTGTTGTTTTTTTTTGGCTCAAAATTTTTTAGGTCCATTTAAGACACATTTTCTGTGTGAACTTCACTTAAACACTTTAATTAAAGGCACAAAAATTGTAATTTTTAGTTTCCAAGGCCTCTCATACTATGGAAGTTACCAAACTTTTGCAGCCATTTTCTCTCAAATTTACCTCTGAAACCAGGCGACCCCTACCTTCTTCAATCGCAAATATCACGATTTCTGTATTGATAAATGGATATATTTTTCAAGTAGATCAAGACAATAGAACAAACTTTAAGTTGATACTAAAATCTCCACTTGCCCAAAGATTGACGAGCGCCTGATTCTACCACATCGTGACACGGTGTATTTGTTGCCATTATAGTGGTAGTCAATTACACGTAGTGGACTCCGTTCATATGGAGTTAGACCTCTTCAATGATTCCCTGTTAGCATGGCTTATGTACGAACGTATTTTACTAGAATTCAATATACTCGTGCAATGGGCCAGTCTTAAGGTCAGTCAAACTAGTAGTTCAAATTGATTGCGAAAGCACATTATCAACAAAAGCATCATCAAAGTGAGGGAAATATGTCCTGAATAAGAACGACTGAAAGGTACACATAGATAGATAGGTAGATAGATAGATAGATAGATAGATAGATAGATAGATAGATAGATAGATAGATAGATAGATAGATAGATAGATAGATAGATAGATA